CAAGCTATTAAATTTGATGCCTTCATTGGGCTGAGTTGGAGCTCAAGGCTGAGGCCGAGCTATTAAAGTTGAAGCCCTTCGTTGGGCTGAGCTCAATGCCGAGCTATTAAATTTGAAGCCTTCATTGGGCTGAGTTGGAGCTCAAGGCCGAGGCCGAGTTATTAAAGTTGGAGCTCTTCAGTGCGCTGAGTTGGAGCTCAAGGCTGAGGCCGAGCTATTAAATTTGAAGTCCTTCATTGGGCTGAGTTGGAGCTCAAGGCCGTGGCCGAGCTATTAAAGTTGAAGCCCTTCACTGGGCTGAGCTCGAGGCTGATGCCGAGCTTTTAAACTTAAAGCCCTTTGTTGGGCTTAGCTCAAGGCTGATGCCGAGCTTTAATCTTGAAGCCCTTTGTTGGGCTTAGCTCAAGGCTGATGCCGAGCTTTAATCTTGAAGCCCTTTGTTGGGCTTAGCTCAAGGCTGATGCCGAGCTTTTAAATTTGAAGCCTTCATTGGGCTGAGTTGGAGCTCAAGGTCGAGGCCGAACTATTAAATTTGAAGCCCTTCATGGGGCTGAGTTGGAGCTCAAGGCCGAGGCCGAGCTATTAAAGTTGAAGCCCTTCGTTGAGCTGAGCTTAAGACCGAGGCCGAGCTAATAAATTTGATGCCCTTCATTGGGCTGAGTTGGAGCTTTTTCCTTATGATTTAATGACCTCTAGGTCTTCACTTGCTCGCGACGACGAGAATCTTTGTCAAATCGTCATCTGCTTGGATCTTGAGCTCCATTCTAGAGTCTCTCGGAGGATCAAAAGCCTTTTTTGCGGTAGGATTTGTCTCCTCATATGTATGTGGTTTCAGCAATTTCATGGCGCGCGAGGTCGCCTGCAATCTGTGGCTTCGTGCTATGTCGCGCATGTTCACCATGGATGGGAGTCGAAATTTTCCGTTTCCCACAGACGGCGCCAATGTTCGGTCCTAGAAAGACCATATTGCTATAATATTCGGTCCTAGAAAGACCGTATTGCTATACCGTATGATATGCGCTCAGAGATACTATATAAACTGATGTATACTTGGCTTATAGCCGATGTCCCAATCACTGCGCACAAGCAATAGGCTTATAGCCAAGACGTGGGTGTATGCACAGTATTGGCACTATTAGTAAATAGGTTAAAAGTGTATACCTGGGGTCTTTAACCTCTTATTTATAAGGGTTACCTCTTGGGCTTGTGTAGATCTCCCAGTTGTAGTAGGATTTAATTTCCTTTCTGTTGGGATAGGGACTCTATCTTTAGTTGCCTTACTGTTTTATATTGTTAGGATAATTGGAGAATTATCCTTTAAGGGATCCTTGGATAGGTGGTTAGGATATGAAAATATTCCATAACAGTAAACAAAAAAAGTTTGACACATTACACATGTGATTTTTATTTTTATTATTAAAAAAAATGTAATATAATTAGTGTATAAATAACATTGTTTAAACGATGCTATTCCCATCCGTTGATTTGATTATTTATAGGGTTATGTTTATCTACACACACAAAAAGAGGTTAGGTCCTACCACTCTTTTTTCTCTCTCTCTTATCTATGAGTCCTACTTATATTTTTATTTCTATAACATGAGATAGTTTTTTTTTTACACACACAAAAAGAGGTTAGGTCCTACCACTCTTTTTTCTCTCTCTCTTATCTATGAGTCCTACTTATATTTTTATTTCTATAACATGAGATAGTTTTTTTTTTATAACATAAGAAAAATATATCCCTTAATTATATTATGAAAAGATTTTTATAAAGATAATGTACAAGAAAGGAATCCGTTTAAACTTTAAACCCATTGGAGCGTGAAGATTAATTATTTTGTGTTCTCCGGGCCCAAGAGAGATGACAAAACTGTTCAACTGTCAAGAAAAGGACCAATCCTGGATTGAAAAAACACAACGAATCTTGACGCGTCATTTATGGGAGAAGAGTATCAATTTCTGAAAACATTAATGGCTCTGTTTGATTTCAGTTTTGTAGTTTTGAGGAAAAAAAAATTAAAAAACTCGTTTGGTAAGATTTATTTTGTAAAAAATGTTTTAAAAATTATAATTTTTTTGTTTTTAAAATTAAATTTAGAGAACATGTCTGAGTTGTTTTTATTTTCTGTTTTGGTTTTTAACTTTCAAAAAGTAAAAAATATAGAAAACAACTGTTTTAATAACTATTTTACAAAACAGTTTTAAAAATAAAAAAATCAGAACACAATCAAACATACTCTTATCTCGCTATTGTAATCTGGGGTGGATTCATTGACCCATCCTCGATACCTAAATTCTGATAAATATCGAATTTAAATTATTATTATTTTTCACATGAATCATTATTTTTTAACGGTTTATTATATATTTGATCCTTCTAAAAAATTCAATAAAATTTGTTGAGTGTGAAAATTTTCTTATATAATTCATTGAGAACAATAAATGTATATATGATAGATTTGGAGCTAAAAAGTTGGGTAATAAGTGGTTATATAAAAGACTTCAAACCAAAATACCTCGATCCTTTACATCAGCGTCAGAGCCCTGACAAAATGCTTAGTACACAACACCTTTTATACTTTCTCTCTCTTTTTTCTCTTTTTTGAATATCCTTTTATACTTTCTCTTGTATTCGGAGTAGAAGAATGCTGTAATTCAAACAACATTCCCCGCGAGGTAATTAAAATATTGATACAACTTTAAATGGCCAATTATTCAAAACAAATTTTTTTTCCACCTTTATCTATCAGACCTCAAAGCATAAGACTTCATTTCTAAATCATTCTTGAAGCTTGTGTATTGGGACGGCCCATTTCTATGTCATGCCGTTAGTCATTTCATTGCAGGATTTCATTTTGGTATTTCCCAAGAAAATATATTATATTATATCAAAAAATTTACAAATTCAATAACAAAAGTTTATAATTTTAAAGAGTTTGTAATTTCTATTATTTATTTAAAACTTTTATAAGCCAGTAACTTTTATTATTACTGTATAAATTTTATTATTTAATTTATAACATTTAACCTATGTAATTCTGAAAAAAAAAAACATAATACTATATCAAGGTAAATTCCGTCGCTTTAACAAATTTTCAAATCAGATGAAAATTGAGAAAGATGGTTTTCTGATGGCTCTGTATCGATTTTTGAGATTGATTGATCACATGGATTGCTGTATTATTTTGGATCAATGACATACGTAACTTTTTCCCTTTTCAAGCATTATTGCTTATATCGTACCTGACACGTTTCCACTCAGATTAATGTGAATCTGCAACCACTTTGATTTGGATCCAAATGGGAAGATTACGAGATTCATAGCATAACTATTTAATTGTTAACTTTTAATGTAGCTAAAGCCCATATGATTAGAAATGGAAACAGATCATGAAAAAAATATGAGATGATTATGTGAAAACATATAAAAAGTGAATCAATGATTATTATTTTATAATTATTTATTTTAATATTTTTTTCTTTTTATTAAACCATTTTTATATAATTATGATTTTCTACATGATTATATCATTTTTTTCAGATAAGAGGATTCAGATCCAATTAGAAATAAGGGATATTAAGTCAATAGATTTAGTCTAATGGTGAGGGATTTAGGTAGGATGTATTAAGTTATGTGTTCAATTCTTACTTATATCCAAAAAAAAAAAAAAATATTGTTCCTCATGTTGAATGAGATAATTTATCACATGTAATACAAAAAAAAAGGTGAAACTACTAAAAAAAGAAAAGAAAAAAATGGATCTCACCCATTTTTTTTTGTGTTGTATAAAATATTGTCCCTTGCAAAGATAGAGTATATTTTCAAAAATAAATAAAATTATAATCATTAATTAGTAAACAACAATTAGATTGATAACAAAAATATATATATATATATATATATATATATATATATATATATGATAAATTATAAAATTATTAAGATTTATTTTTAATTATTTGATCAATAATCATATTTACATTTTTTTAAAATACGCTTAAACATGTAAAAGCCAAATTCTATAAATATAATCCACTTTTTAGATGAATTAAGATTACATGTAATAAAAAGTAAGATCAATTATACTTATCATAAATTTATTATTGTTAGATTAATTTTAAATTAAAATCCCTTGATTGCTGGTCAATAAAAAATATTAGTCTAAATTTAATCTGACGATGTTGAGTATAAGCGAGCTTTATAAATAACTAGACAAACTATCGCCTATGAATTCGACAACTTTTTTTTTTCAGCTTTTTATAATTTTTATAATAAGATAAGATATTTTTTTATGGGATTGAGATTATGATTATGTGTAATTATTTTTTGAGATTGAGATTATTGAAAAAGTCAATAACAAAAGTTAAAAATAATTTTTGACAATACCAAACTACATGTGATGCATTAAATTAAAATACAACTTTCTAGTAAATTATGCTTAGTTTGTAAAATCGTATTTTCTTGAAGTGTAGCTCACCTTCATATATTTGGTGTATAAAGTTCATTCAGACTGATTACACTTCTCCACTATATTTTTGTATAAAAAAAAGTTTATTTTGCATTTATCTTTATTTAGAGAAAAGTGACATCTTTATTGGCCAAGTTTAAAGCACGAAACAACTTTCTATCTTACTGTTCTGCTTAGTTCTAGTAAGTTCTGAAATTATTAGACCAGACACGAGACATGAACATGATGCTACACAGTATTCACAGTTATTTATCAATGATGCTGATTCTGCTTGTAAACATGTTAGGTCAAGGAACTTTATCTGAAGCCCTGTCAGAAGCAAGTGACCCTGACACATGAACTTCTCCACAAATATAAAATTGTAAGGTTCCTCGTGTTAAGGTGAATGTACAAATTATTCCACCGACGCAGACATAATCACATGACAACCAACAGCAGGCCAACCATTTCTCTTTGGTATATTATTGCTCATTTCGGTACAAAAAGAAACAAATAAGAAGCAAATACACAATACATTTTCATATGATCTTAGACTTCTATTAATGAGAAAAAGAACTTCTCACTTCACTGGATTACAAATACTATAATTGACCACGCCCAAAATCATCGATGCAGGGGATGCTTCTTCTTTCCCAAGTAATAATAATATTACAATTTACAACATGACATACGCCTCTTTCCCCAACCACAATTTGCTTAGTTCCCAACATTACATTAAACTCCTGTTACACTTTCATTTTGCCTTGCAGGTCAAGCAACTGGTTACCACATCTTACCAATATGCAATTACTATCAATAAGAACATATACCACACCAGCCATCAGCATTACTGTGGTTTATTATCAACCCACTTATTTTCAGCAGCAATTCTTCCAGAACTTCGGCCACCCATTTTTCCAAATGAACCCACACTGGGTAATCCCTTGAAGCTGCTGCTACCTCCCTCATTCAAGTTTCTGGATTTCCTTGAGTTGCTTAGCTTGGAACAACTAATATCAACACCATCTAGATCAATGTCATCATCACTTTCTACCTTGACAACCACGAGTCTAACTATGGTGCTTCGGCAGAATGGACAAACTGGTGGGGTAAGACAAGCAGTAGAAGGGTTGGGCTTTTTGTGGCAGCAGAGGGCTAGTGTGCATTGTGCACACATCTGGTGGCCACAGTCTTGGACTTCAATTGTACACACCTGCTCAAAGCAGATGCAGCATAATTCCGTCTCACTAACCTGAATTAATATTCAATCCCACAATGAGTATATAGTTGTTCAAGCAAAAATTGATGTTCCTCTCACTAGAGTATAATGGCAGAAGTGGATGCAAGTGAGAAACATAGATTAGACATCAAGGAGAGAAGGATTTAAAACTTGCTAAAAAAAATGAATATTTAATGGATTTTAAACTTGACTAAAATTCAAAATATAGAAATCCCCCTATAATGAGTTTATGCATAATGGGAAAACTTAAATTAGAGGGTGAGCCTTGAAGCTGCGTTAAGGTTGCTCCTGGTGACAGAAAGGTATGGAAAACTGCCACTTTGCAAAATACAAGGGTAAGACTATATACAGTCGAACTTTACACCTACCCTTTGGAGCCTTGTGCACCAGGGTTTACCCTTTGGATAATTCAATTCAATTGCACATCTAAGAAAAGTAGTAAACGCAAGAAGTTTGTCAAATAACCTCAGAGATATTGTCATCTACCCCATCAGAGTGTGAAGAAGATGGAAGAGAGCGAGAACTCCCTTTCAATATGTTTTTCTCCCTTTCCCTGTTTGCATCCATCAAAGCCCGCTCTAATAAAGCTTTGGCCTCTGGATTAAGCTCACTGATGACCTTCAAAGATGATGGCCAGACAAGAGGCTCTGCAGATGAAAGATTTAGCAATGCTGCACATTCGCCATGTCTGTGTTTCAGAGCAACTACATATGGTATCCGCCTGCATAAACACAACATACAGTATGAAGGCAATTCCAGAAATTTGGAGAATAAAAGCTGAACAAAACATGGCAAGTTAATTTTACGAATATATTCTACTTATGAATGACAACATTGTTAAATGAAGAAAGTTGCTTCTTAAATTGAAAAGTTGCATAGGGAAAATTAAAGGTTTTCCTAAGAGACTTACATTTTGATATCACACTATCATGGTAAGCAAACCCATTAAAAATAAATTACATAAATTTTGATGAAAACGATGTTTAACCATATGTATCAATCATCATTAAAGAGGGCGAGGGTGGAGCAGTGATAAAGCTCCTCCTTTGTAACTAAGAGGTCACGAGTTCAAATCCAGGAAACATCATCTTTGCAAATATGCAAAGGTAAGACTGCAAACAAGTTGTCCTGACCCCTACACTCCCTAGTCGGGGTTTAATGGAGAGTGGTTTTATCAAAAATCATTAAGTTTCACTTTCACCCAATAAGATCTTCTCGAATGGTAAGAATTTGTATTTAGGAACTATACTGTACCCAGATGCATCACGTTGAAGACGATCTGCACCCCATGCCAACAATTCCCGGATGCAATCCAGAGAACCCCCTCGGGCAGCTAGATGAAGAGGAGTGCTCCCAGGACAGCTGCAAATAGCAATTTATCAATCCACAAAAACAAATGAATACATCAAATTCAAGCTTATCACCACCAGAACTTTCACAAATCATTACCCGTATCTGCCAGTTGAAGCACAAACAAGGGCTCCACTGTCCAATAGAATATGTACACATTCAGGCCGTCTTTGACGTGCTGCCAAATGCAATGGTGTTGCACCCTTACCATCTCTAACATTCACAAACCGAGGAAAACCCCTGCAATGAATTGAATTATTTTCCTTTTTAAAATTTTCAAAAAGCATCATGACAAATCACCCAAATGAATCAATTAGGGGAGAAATTGATGCCAAAACAGAAAAGTACCAACCAAGAAGCAGCCACTGTACTAGATTGAGCAGCAGAAAGAATTGCCTTAACACAAGAAGAATGTCCATAGTAGGCAGCATAGTGCAAGCAGGTTCTTCCATAACGAGCATCAAACATTAATACCTGAGAATTTTATTTTATTTTTTAAATTACACGCAAATTTTTTTCTTTTTAATTAAAATCAAAAGAAATCGGAATGAACATCAGGGGAAACTTCACATACATTAGCACCAGCTTCAAGGAGCTTTTCCACACAGGCGATCTTTCCATGCATTGCTGCCAACATAAGCGGAGTCTGAATCGATCACAATGCAATGAAGGATAAGTAAAGGAACACTTTGAAGTGGAACCCACATTCATCCATTCCAAAATATGAGCAATGATGGGAATAACAGCAAAAAGTTACCTGCTTTTGGCGATTCAACACATCTGGATTCACAGATCCATCCAAAAGCCTAGATATAATCTGCAACTTGCCACAAAAACAAGAAAAATGTAAGGACCCAAAAATGAATACCCAATCGGGTAAGCAAAACAAATTGACAAGAAACAATACGAAACGAAAAAAGAGAGGGAAGAAAAACCCACCTGGATCTGGCCATTAGCAGCAGCAATATGAAGAGCAGAGTGGTTATCATAGACAGTGGTGTGATGCATAAGAGTTGGGTGTGTCTGTAACAAAGTTGCAACAGTTTCAAGGTCCCCATGCTGCACAGCACGGAAGAGTCCATGTTCATGGCTCCCTCTGCAACTCAGCTTCTGACCCATCCCTTTCTTTTCTATGGCGAATCGTTTCTTTTTCTTCACTGACTGCGCCACCTTTAGCAGAGACGGTGGCCTGCAGTTCCACGTTTCCAAATCAAAGCTTCCACATTTATTGAGTTTGAGAAGTGACCTGTGTGTGCTGTGTGTGAAAATGGCATAGTATAGAGAGAGAAATGAAGGAGGGAGACAAAGTTAGCTGAGAGTGTCAGTTACTGATTCTGACTTGGCTATGGCATCATTCAGATTCCACATAGGGTAGGCTCCATTTTCCCCCAAATATTCAAATAAAATATGGGAATTCTGAGTATCACACACATTTTATGCCATAAACACATGAATATGTGAATTTTATTGAGAAAAAAATAATAATAATGGTATGAGTCTGTTTATGACATAAGGTATGTCATGTAACATAAAATATCTACCTTTTGTTTCTCAAAGGTAAAAAAATTTATTTATTGTAATTTAATTAAATAATTACGTATTTATTGCAGTTTGAAGAGTATTTACAGATCTATTGTACAATGTGACGTCTTTTTTGGGCATCACATATGACGCCTCATTTAGGCGTCTCTCACCAAGGGAAGACGCCCCAATTGGGCGTCTCTCATGTAGTGTTGACACGTGTCATTTCTCTCTCCAAAAAAAATAATAATTTAATCATAAAACTTCTGAAGGCCATAACTTTTGACTCGGGTATCCAATTCAGGTAATTCTTTTTTTGATTCCACATAAATTTTTGAGATCTACGTAATGACATCTCATTTGATATATTTTATTTCTCACAAAGATAATTTAAATTTGCAAGAATGATACTATACGAGCGTTTAAACCTAAAAGTCTCTTAGTTCTTTCCGAATCAACACCAAACACACCAAAACCAAGTGTTTGAAAAAAAATAGTGTACAATGTTATTGAACTGAAATTCGTATTGTGTATCGTTTGGTTGATTTTTCGTATCTAGAATCATACGGTATCATAAGTTACATCCTTCTGTTTAATGACTTTTTTCTTTAAAGCCATTTAAATTATAGCTTCTGAATGGTTTTCAAAAATAAAATCCTTCTTACTTAGAGATTTATAATATTTATTTAATTATTTTTTTATTATACAGATTTTTCAAATTGATTTTGGAGTTTAAGTCACAAATTAAATCTTTATTTTGTTTTCCTTATTAATGATAATTTTTTAGATTTTTTTTAAATTTAAATCACAAACCAAAACTTTATTTATTTTTTATATTAAAAATTAAAAAATGTGATTTTTTTTAAATTTAAATCACAAACTAAATCTTTATTTTTTTATATTAAATCACAAATCTAGTACTCAGAGGCTTGTCGATTTAAACACTCTTATAATACCATTTTTGCAAATTTAAATTATGTTTGTGAGAAATAAAATATATCAAATGAGATGTCATTGCGTAGATCTCGAAAAGTTATGTGGAATCAAAAAAAGAATTACCTGAATTGGATTATTTTTTTTATATTAAATCACAAATCTAGTACTCAGATGCTTGTGGATTTAAACGCTCTTATAATACCATTCTTGTAAATTTAAATTATGTTTGTGAGAAATAAAATATATCAAATGAGATGTCATTGCGTAGATCTCGAAAAGTTATGTGGAATCAAAAAAAGAATTACCTGAATTGGATACCCGAGTCAAAAGTTATGGCCTTCAAAAGTTTTATGATTAAATTATTATTTTTTTGGAGAGAGAAATGACACGTGTCAACACCTCATGAGAGACGCCTCATTGGGGCGTCTTCCCTCGGTGAGAGACGCCTAAATGAGGCGTCACATGTGACGCCCAAAAAAGACGTCACATTGTGCAATAGATCCGTAATTATTTCCAAAACTGCGATAAATATATAATTATTTAATTAAATTACAATAAATAAATTTTTTTTGCCGTTCCTCAAATCCAACGCTTCATGTTCAAACTTGAAAAGCACTCCTACAAACTCGTTAGCATGTCATGTCATATTACTGCATATTTGAATCCTATAGTCCTCTTTTTTTAACTATTTTAAACTTTAGTTGGATGCACAGGGGAAACGGATTAGAATAACGAAGGAGTTGTAATTTTATTCAGTGACTATTAAATATTTGAATAAAATATTTTATAAATCTCAATAAATATTATAAGATTCAATTTAATTTTAAAAAAAAATTAATTTATAATTTCTTTAAAATTCAAAATAGATTCATATGTTAGTCATTCTAACAGACTAACATGAATCTTGTTTAAAGTTTATAGAAATTAATATTTTAATTAACTGGATCTATTTTAAATTTTAAAATAACCACAAGTCAAATTTTTTAAACAAATGATTAAAATGAGTCTCATAATTTTTGTTGATAATTTAAAAAAATTTACTTTAAATATTTTGAAACTTTTACTGTCGTTTCATTTATTTATTTTATATTTTTTGAAGAATCAAAATAATTAAGTTATCTCATGTGTCTGCATATTTAAATGATATGATTCTCTTTTATTGACTGGTAAACATGTCAAAAAGAAGAACTTAGAAGTTCGGGCTCGAATTAGGCTATACGCGTTCCCCAATTTGACTGGAACTGGTTGGTCTTGTTTACTTATTTTCTTGTCATGGGAAAATTCTTCGTGAGTCAAGCCATAGATTTTACTTCTAGTCAAAACTCATGGTCCTACTCCTCCTATGTATGTCTGCTGTAGACTATTCGATTCAATTTTATTGATCCTTATACTAAATAACTAAAAATCAATTATTTATTTATTTTATAGGTTCTTCAAAAGTTTTTCTATTGATCGTATATATGATTTAGTGTTTGGTATAGGAGATAAATTTATTTTATATATATATATATATAAATAGATAGGATTTATATTTATTTTTTTTCTCTTTTTTCATATAGATCCTATATATTTTTATGTGTATGTGTAAAAGATAAAACAATCTTTTATAACATAAAAATTATTAAACTCATATATATTATGTAGTCAATTATAAAATGATACTGCTCCCTTACTTTCTACTTCCCTGTTCGCACCATATTATGTTGTGTTAGGGATATTTAACTAGTCTCATATCAGTCGGTAATGGATTAATTGAAAATTATATAAGTGGGAGCACATACAAATTTAATGTATTAATGTTTTTGATTGAGGCAATGTTAATTGTTAAACTCACTTGAGATGATTGATTTAACTTGACTCATTGATGATGATCCGACATCATAAGCTCCTATCAATCCACATAAAAATCCTATCGGATGTGAGTTGGGTTCAGGCTAGCTAAGAATATTGAAATGTGAATGAATCTTACATTGATCAATAGTAAAAACTATATAAATGAGAGAATTCATAAACCAATATCTTATTAGTCCATTCGTGGGTGATCCTCCGTCGTAGGTTTCTCTTCACCCACTTGCATACACGTTAAGATTTTTTTTTATAATGTGATGTTGATGATTATAAAAATAGAAGAGATAAATAATCAATATTTAAAACTAGTATAATGTTATAAAAATTGAAGAATACATCAAATAAAATAAACGGAAATCATACTCTCCTGCTGCTAGAGGAGAGTAGAACTTTTTCCTACACAAATTCGTTTTCCGTGCTAATTAATTTTTTTTTAATATAAAATGTGGGACTCACGTTTAACTTATCTCTATTTTTTTTCTCTCCTACAATCCTACAACATAAGAAAATATGAACCCTAAAATAAATAATATTGCATAATACTTATATATCATTCTTTTTAATAAACCTAAAGAGTTAAGATGAAATATATTTCGATAAAAATGATTACATTGTTAATGATAATTATAATAATACTTATGCACTGAGAATTCAACTTTACGGCAAAAACATTGCTTGAAGAAACAATTGAAACCAATTATCCTCGTCAATGAATTTTTGGTTAGTCAATTATCCACTCTTCCGTAGCGAAAGACAAGTTGTTTTATGCTTTAAGAATCAGTTTGTTTGAACTTTGAATAGGTCAAATAACTAAAACAAATTTTACTTTAAAATTTTCACTTTAGGGAAGAAAAATAAAAATATCTAACATCCTTAGGTTACTGGTGGCAGAAAACCAGAAACTCGCCGGCTGCTAGCAATCAAATTTGAAAAGAAGCAACCGCGACATTATTTTTAATAGGCGTATTCTTTTTTTCTTTTTCTTTTTTGTGGTAAGGTTTAATAGGTGTATTCGTGTAGTTTGAATTTGGGATTAAAATCTCAAAACCAATTAAATTTAATTGTATTTGTTTTGTTTAGAAACAATTTCAGTCAACCAAAACTAAACCATGATTAAGACTGGGTTTTATCTTCACTCGTTACTTTTTTTCTAATCTAATTTTTTTAAATTTTCTACTATTGCAAGAAAAAATACTGAGTTTTTACTCTTCGATGATTGGAGATAGAAATTAAATTATTTATGTTTTTATTACCATTATTATTTTACACCCCTCATTAATCTCATTACTCAAAACATGATGACAAAGTTACGTAGCAAATATAATCACAAACTTGATAATGGTTATATACCCAAAAAATTTTTTATAATGGTTTGTAATGGCGAAGTCAGATAAAATTGTGAAGGGGGCGAAATAATAAGTTTAATGTTCATTGTAAGTTATAAGTTACAAATATATATCTATATAATTAAAAAAAAAACAAAAATGATGTTCACAATGAAAGACTTCTAAGAATTTGAAAGGGGCGATCACCATTTATATGACCTAAAACAATATAATTGACCTTCACAACTCACAAGTCACAACTGTAGGCTTGTACAAATTTGAAGGTGGGCGGCCACCCTCCCTAAACCCTCCCTTGCTTCATCATTGACGGTTTAAGCATTGAGTGAGAAAGTTACAATAAATGAGGAAGTGGCAAAAAATATGAGAGACCTAAGTTGAGAGTTCACGATCTTGCATCGAAAAATCAGAAATTCGTGAATAAATGATAATTGAATTGTATTAAGTTTAACCTATGGGAACCGATTATTCAAACAAATTCAAATTAAATTTATCATTTTAATTTGAATTATGGAGCAAAATTTAGCCAATCAACACTCTTTTTTTTTTATAAATATCAATCGGTGTCTAAAATTTTAATGGATTCAACTAATCCGATCTCGGACTTAAACCTCTTCACTTTCTCCAGGAATTATGACTCTAAAAAATGGAATTTACT